CTGGAGAGAGCTTAACATTGATTTGAAGATTGATTTAATGCATTTAGAAGAGGTAGCCTTTTAGCCAGGGAGGCTCTTTGCAGAGAGCAGAGAGCAATGAGGACAGGCCAAGGTACCCAGAAAGTGGCCAAAGGGCGGAACCCTCATTGATTCACTCTAAGCAACACAACAACCACAGGCTACAGGTCTTGGCAACTATTGAAATCAGAAGGACATGTGGTTTTTATGCCACAGCTTTCCTTAACAGCTCTTGGCATTCACACAAGAAACTGCTTCTGATTTCTCAAGGTCTGTACTAGACCATCCATAACAGAGATCCTTAAAAGATGGAGGTCAGCAATTATGATGTGGTAGTGCTCAAGTGCAACTGTGCTTAAAAGTACCATTACACTGCACACCACAACTAAGGGCATGTAGCGACAGGATAACGGGTAATGGTTTAAAACTGGAAGAGGGAAGATTTAGATTAGACATTAGGAGGAAATTCTTCACTATGAGGGTGGAACATGTTGCCCAGGGAAGTTGTGGATGATCCATCCCTGGAAGTGTTCAAGGCCAGGTTGGATGGGGCTCTGAGAAACCTGGTCTAGTAGGTGTCCCTGCCCAAACAGGGGGTTGGAACTAGATGATCTTTAAGGTCCTTTCCAACTCAAAACCATTCTCTGATTCTATGAACAAATTTACCACGAACTTACAAGACTGGGTACTGTCCAATGATTTTTACTACTAAATTGGGACTATAGGATAAAAGTTAATTTTATCTTACTCCTGAACCCGCATAACAAAACAGACTGAGTATTCCTCTATCTATCTGAATTACAAGGATCCTGTCAGATCCACTTCACTACTCTACTGCAAGTAAATGATGGGAACCACAGAAGAAAACTAACATACAAAATAATTAACATTAATAGAAAATCCAAATTATAATTAAGATATTCTTACAGAGAAAAAAAAAATAATGGTTGAGTATTTTCTAATGATGAACATATTTTAATCTAAATATAGTCATTTTTATGCTTCTGATCAATAGCCACTTTATCAGGACAAGTCATTCTTCAGTCATATCAATTCCAAGGGGAGAATTCCAAACGATCCAGTAAATGCAGACATGGAATCCATTACAATTAAAGAGCCAGTGTGTGTAAACCTCACAACTTGTTTTCATATCACAGTGTCAGCATGCAGCAACAAACCTTCTGTTCAGAAAGCCTCTGTAAGATCTGGAAGGGGAAAGAAAGATCTATCCCAAATGCTAATTACTCACATGCTTAATACTCAACCTCTTAAAAAATCTGGAGATCAGCCAAAAATTGTCATAAATGGTTTGACTTTGTACCAGAACACTATTTATCAGCATTCTTAATTTCTACCTGGGTGGACTGACTGTACTTCATACTTAGCAGTGAAACAGCTAAATATAGCAGTGTATGAAACAGCAGTGCTAATTAAGAGCATACAGAAGAGTTTGAGAATTTTGATTATTACCTGTAAGTCTTCATTAAATTCAACTAAGGAACATCAACCACATCTGCTACAGCTGTCAGAGCCTTGAAGGTGGTCATGTTCACAGGGGGTGATGCAGAACCTTGACATGTTGGTGGCTACTCACATGTAACATCTGAATTGTGGAGCCAAGTAACTTGTCAGTATAGACTTACTTCTGCCTAAACTCATATCTAAGTACAGCTACTTGTCTTGAAATGAGAATAAGAGGTCTTGACGTCCTTATTACTTATGGAAATAAAGCATCACCCGCAGTGGATGGAAGGACATGTGCCGAGTTCCTCTGTACAGGATCTATGTGCAGGGAACAGTGACAACACCAGGCACTTCATCCTCTGCCTCTCTCCCCTTTACACCCCTCTAAGCCTTTTTATTCTAAAAAATTTCTATCTTTCTCATGCAGAAACACGTTCTGTTTTTACAAACTCACTATCACTATTTATGAAGATGATATCTCTCATCGCTACACTGAAATGACTTAAAAGAAAGATCTAATTAAGAAAAAAAGTTTTAGCTTAAATACCGAGAACAAAAGCAGCACAAAAACTCTCCTTCCCACAGTGGGTGTTGCTGTTCTGTGCTACCAAAATGAACAGAAACATCAGGGACAAAAACTCATCCTGCTGAAATAAATCAAAACCCATTGAATTCAAGAAGGGGATAAAAGGTGTTACCTTAAATATACATGTGTAAAGCTAATATCCAAAAGCCACCTGTTCCTATAGAATTAAAATCACAATGTGTCTGTGTAAAAACTGTAACTAAAACGCCACCTACAACTGATGTCAATTTGTTGGGTGTTTTCACTCATACATTTTTGAAGGTTGCTCATTCCACTTGGCAATAGCAGAAACTGCCAGTGGAAGCTTAGAAGTTCAGCTGATATAGCAAAGAGAAATGGAATACATTTCAGAAATTTTAGTGAATTATTCTGGCTTCATTTCCATTTTACAAGCTCAGTAAATGTTAAGGTTCTTACAATACCCGCAGTAAAAAAAAAAAAAAAAGAACAAAGTATGAATCTATTTAAAACCAAATTATAATTTTCTAGGATAATTTTCAAGACTTCATTGTATCAGTTAATGATAAATACCCCAAGCCAGATAAATTAAGTCCGTAATATAATGAAGGTTTTACTTAAGCAAATTTGTTTTAAAAAGTACTATTTAAAACTCATACATTTACATTTAGCTTTAATGAGCGGAACAGAGAGAATTTGTGACATTCATATTATTCTGGGGCAATAAAAGCTAAAAATATGTCTTGTCAAATGGTGAAATGAGATTTCCACAGACTACATATCCTTGTTTCCCACAATCAAACTGTGAGCATGAAAACATTCTCCTGCATGTGGAGGTTTTGATGCTCATCTCCCTGGTGAAAGTGTGCAAAAGGATCTGAAAGAGTTATTGACACTTCATACAGTATCCCATATTTCATTAGATAGTCCAAGCAGAGAACATATCTTAACTCTGAAGGGAGATGAAGCAACAATGTTTTAAATGACTATTGACTCCACTAAATTTCCTGATAATGTCAGAAGACTCTAGTCTGTCAGGTTCATAAGAGACTCAAGATGATACAGGAATCCAATTATGCGAAGTCTATTTAGTTGCCCTGTTTGCTAAGCCAAAGGTTAACGAGAACTGCACTGAAAAAACCTCCTGTGGTATTACAAAGTATTTCTTATGCTGCATAACGTGTAAATGAAAAAGTATTTTAATCAAGCCTTTGTTTAACTCTTCAGTTGCAACGGAGTATTATACAATACAGCAAATGAAAAACTCACAATGGAAAAAGTTAATTTAAAAAATTGCCTCTAAACTAAAGACATCATGACTTATTACTGAAGTAATTGTTACCAAGTATTTTTAATTTGCAAAGGAAAAAATGTTCAGATCACAGAACCACAAGTAGTCATTGCTAACATTAAATCTTTATAAATAGAAAGCTACGACCTCTAATTTTAGACAGAAATTAATTATATTTTTGTTGGTAACACATTCAAATCTGTTTACACAGCTGACAAGTCTCAGCTGCACCAGACTCGAGCTTTGAGGACTCTCCTGCTTCACAGCAGATGACTCAACATTCACCAATTTCATTAAAGATGAAAAGGGGAAAAATTCACCTGCAACAATGTCACTTGTAAAAACAGACTTAAAACAGACTTATGAGTTTTACATATGTGAGATACCCAATTTAAAATAAAGGGGGGGAGGGGAATACAGGAAAACCTAACAGCTGTGGGAAAATGGATTAGAAGTGTTGAGTTTCCAATTCTTTTTTTGAGCTAATGTAAACTAATAAAATGCTAAAATGGATCCAGATTTCAAAGACTGTAATTACCACATGACACCACGCTGTTATTTCACATCCTACATCCATCCTCTCAGATATGCTCCTGAATACAAGGACATAGATTTACCCACCTCTCTCAAACCTAACTCCTGTTTCTGCAAACACTACCACAGATGTATTTTATTAGAAATACAGACAGTCTTTGCTTTCCTTTTTTTTTTTTTTCTTACTGGCATAAATCCTTCACCCAGAGAAAAAAGCAGCAGCCTTATCATATAAACAGTGATTTATGAGAAGCTGAGTAGAAATGGACAGGGAACTAATGCACCTAAGATGATGCCAATACAAAGAGAAAGCACATCCCAATTCCATGTTCACTTCATAGCATACTCTGGTTTACCCCTAATTTAAAAAAATGGTTTTATAAAAATAGAAACTATTACTTTTTCTACATTTTTCTCAGGTCACAAAATCTATGTACAACAGAGCCTTTTAGGTTTTTTTGTGGTTATGAACATGCTACCTGAAGAAAATTGTCTGGGCAGTACACAGTGATCTCAGATAAGATTTCCTTCCATTTCTAAATCATGGTAATTCTAAAACCTGCACAATATTTTTGAAAATTAAATACATATTGTATTGTTCATATATTATTTAATATTTAAAAATGTCATCTTGCAAAGGCCCATACGTTCTTACTGGCCCAGCAAGAATCAAGGTAGAGAACTTAAAAACTGAAGCTCTGCACTGATTTCAACTGGAACATCTCCTGCTTAAAGCCACACATGGGTTTCAAAATGTCAGTGATCTGATGGATATGAGGAAAAGACCTAGATATGCATTCAGAATACATGTGAAAAATTGGACTTTTTCCTGAATTTAAATCACTGTAACAGACCTCCTCATTCTAAAATGCTGCACATCTTTGCTCCTCCTAGACAAAAATATGCAGGGAATTTGACACACATGAATAACTTCCATGGAAATGTGCTTCAGTAAGGCAATGCTTCAGTACTTGTATCATTCAAGATAAAGCCCTGAATGATGTGTTATGGTTATGTGTTAGGAGTTACGATGTTATGATAGGTTACTGCATATGGGACAAATTAAAACTATGGGATTATTCTGACCAAAACTCCAAGTAATATCAGCTATTGAAAGGGAGAGATGAAATGAGAACCCAAGCTACTTACTGAGTCATCTGTGGCAGAAGGAGGCCAGCCTTCCCACAACTGGTGACGGACAGGGATACTAGTTAGGTCATAGACATTCCGCTTAACCTGGTTAAAAAACAAATTAAAATGAAATCAGAACTTGTGCTAACAAAAGCATAGAAGAAAATTGCTTTATCTTCATCACAGTCCCCAGGTTTTTATTTTCATTTTTTCCACTTGTGTAAAACAGGTTCCTCCAACACTCAGAGATGCAGATCCATTTCACAGGTTTACATAAAGTCCGGCTGAAAGCAATTGAGCAAATTGTGTCAAAGAAAAAATATTAAACTATAACATATAACTCACAATGATTCACTATTACTGAAGTATCACAAATGTGTAAAAGAATTAAGAATATAAATTTTCACAGTAAAAAGTACTGCAATGTAATGAGCAAACCAAGGGGATGCAGAAGGCAAAAATAAAAAGCCTGTTACAGGTTTTGCTAGTTAATGTATTCTGTTCCACCTGAAAATTTTAGCTTCATGCTACATCTAACATAGTAAGAAATAAAACCAGCTTTGCATAAGTTTCCTAAATGGGCTCAAAAAATAAAAATGAGCATATTAAACAAAAAAACAGGAATTAATAAGCACATTGTCAATGAAGACAACATGTTTCAAATATTTACTGACAAAATGCAAATAAACTAATTTTTACATCAGCTCTTTTCTCTTGCTATTACAATTAAGCTCAACAATCATCTCAGATGATGATTATCAGAAGGAAGGTAGGGGAAAAGAAGAAAGAGTTGGGAATTTTAAATACAGGAAGAATGCTGCAAAATTTCAAAACTTCAAAATTTTCAAAACTTCTTCCACAAAAACATTAACACAATGAAAAAGCTGACCTGTTTTACCAGAAGTTTTGTGATAAACCATAAAAGATGCATTTTTATACTTGGGATTTTTATACTTGGGATAGAGAGTGCTAAGTCTAATTCTGAATAGTATCTTATACTTGAATGTAAAGTCTGCTCAGGTAACGAGCATATGAAAATACTGCTCAGCTGAATCATAGAATCATAGGGGTTGGAAGGGACCTCGAAAGATCATCTAGTCCAACCCCCCCTGCCAGAGCTGAACCAGAACTGTGAACAGTAAAATGCTTATAGGGAGCAACGCTGGGTTTTGGGTTGTCTGCCATGAAACTGGTACATGGCAATACAAGATCCTCCCCTATAGGTCTATTTTAGCTTCCGAGTACAGATCTCAACAACCTATATTGCATCCAGAAAAACAGTCTCAAACAGATATAAGTTCTGATGCATTTTACTAGTATCTTACATGACCATTCACAGACAGAATATCTGAGGAAATCAGAAGTTCTCTGTCCTGTTCCCAGCTTTAAGAGGGTTGTACAGTTTCACCCTAACAGACACAATAACCAAGTGTTTGACACATTAAATCAAAAGACAGTAAGGCAGATAGGTAAGGTTTTACTTAAACCAAATTCGAGGACTACTCCAAAATCTGTCCTCTGATGCCTTCTTTAGCTTTTAATTTGTTCACTTGTCAACTGGAAAGAACCACCAATTAATTTTATTCTGTTACGTGTATTACTAAGAATTCTGTCAACAGAAAAAATATGTATATATAATTGTCAGCAGAAAAGATCTTTGATCTTTCTTGCAGCCTAGGAGACTTACACTAAGTTAACAACTTTCTCTGAACAGAAAAATGGTTTAGGAAAGAAAAAATCAGGAAGAAACCAAGGTTTGTCAAAGTGAGACATATTAACATAATCCATTCATTTAAAGGTTTCCTATTCAAGAAGGGAATGAAAGGTAATTCTAAACTGTATACATACACACCTGTGGAAAATGGAATTATGAAAGACCAAACCCTATAGAACTTGGTATATGATCTCATTCCTACTGTTCAAAACAAACAGCCTTTCTTCACTGCTGCTTTACCAGAAGGCAGCCTGCTGCGCAGTGTTCGCTTCACAGCGGTATCAAGGTGGAGAGATGTCATTATTCTGCACTGACCCCACAACATCCCATCAAAATGTAACAATACTGATCTGTGATCACAAGAATATGGTTCTTGCATTTCTACTTTTTTGCATTAAATATCAGGATAAATGCTCCCTATGATGTAACTGTTCTTCAGTTACGTATGTACAAACTTTTATTATTTTCACAATGCAAAACTCTGAAATGGGCTCTTCTGAAAGAAAAGGTGAAAGTTATTTACAGAATCGTGGGATCAATACAGCCACATAATACTGTTTTCAAAAAGCCTTCAGAAGTAAAAATAAATAACTCAGAAGTCACATTCCTCAAATTCCCTTTTAATTCCAAAGTACAACAAAAAGGCATTATGAAAAAAACAGTATTTCCCTTCTTTCATTAACTCATCTGTAACTGCACTGAATTCAATAACATTCCTCTGCTATTCTAAGCTTGAAAGGCATGCTCGGGGTAAAGTGTTATGTTGGTATAAAGCACAATGCCAGACTGATGTGCTGGACAAAAGTGATCAAAGTTGAAGTAATTTTAGCCAAGGCACAAGTATTCTGCTGCATTATTCTACCAGAATGACATCTGTTGAGCAACTCGTCGCAGAACAAACTAGTTGTTACAGACAGGCCTGGTCGGGTAGGGAACCATGTAAGACTTATTGGAGTAATGTTTGATTAAATAAACTGCTTGAGTTAAGATGATAACTGGATTTGGAATTCATGCCAAAGTAGTACTCTTTCAAATAACAAGCCAAAATGAATTATTTAAGACAAAATAAGCTTGCTTTTAAATAACTATTTAATTTTTGGGTTGTTTGATAATTAGAATTAAGAGAGCAGACTGCAGAAGTTTTAGAGACTAAGAGTATTTACCATTCAAGAACAGAAAACCTCTTTTCTTCATTAGCCAACTTGATTTCAGTTTAAAGTTAAAAATCCTGTAAAGAGGAAAAAGTTCTAAAGATTTATATAAAGCAGAACTATAATCTGCTCCTTATCAGGCCAGTAAAATAAAATCCTACAGTCTGAAAAAGTTAGCATGGTAAATGGATGAAGTCTGGTTTATGGCTTTTATTTATAAATTCACATGATACTCACAGGAGGACTGAAATCTTGATAGATTTGTGTAAAGCAAACCCTAACTTCTAGCGCCGTGAGCTGCGCTACATTTATGGCCAAACTTTTTGGTCCCCCACCTTTGATCCCTTCGAAAGACTAATTGGTGGCATTGTCTTTGTGCAGCCCAGAATTTCTTTTCATGATGCTCAGATGCCGTGGGGACTGGCACATTACTATGGGAGCCACCCTTCAGATTATAATCTCTACAATATACAAACACTTAAAACCAAATTAAAGGCACATCTATTTGGTTCCACAACTCAGCTGTGAACAGTGTCAATGCAACCACTGAAACCACCAAAGTCCCCCAGATATTTCAGATGTGGTCTTCCTTGGAAAATTATTTATAATTCCTGGAGAATGCCTTACTTTACAGCTACATACTGATGCTGGAAAAGCAGATGAAGTTTTACCATCAGCTGATTTTCACTGGTCTTAGAAGGGAGTAAAAATATTAAAAGAACTTTGAATATTTTAAGAAAACCCATACATCAAAGTAACCAACACACTGAGGAAACTTCCCAGATACAGGCAGAGTCTTTCTTTTCTTCACTGTGTTTTTTAAGCAGAAGAGTATGTTGCTCTAGTAGGAAGGTTAAACACAAAAGATACACTTTGTAGATAAGAAGGTAATCCAACATTCAAAGCCCTTCCACAATTATGATAGAAAGGATAAAATGAAGTAAAATAAACCACAGGGCAAGAAGTCTGTACTAGGTAATGTGATGGTGACAACCCTGTGGTGGTTTCATTTGCCAGAAACAAGGAGCTATTTTCTTATTTCTGAATTAAAAAACCTAAAATCCATCACCACAAAAAAAATTAATAATAATAACCTAACACTTACCAACTTGTTAAAAAAATTAAATATTATGCCGACTCATCAAAGAATAGTCTTGTCTGAATCTGTATCTTTGAATCACAACAAATCACAACAAAGTTTAACAGTAGTTTCCCTCAGGCTGTTTTCCGCTTATGCAGGTACAAAGTTAATTGAAATAATGTAGATAATGAACTTTTGTTAGTCTTATTATTAAATATAATTTATGCAAAGCTGTAAATTGGCTGAGATGCTAAAGACCGTTCCAGGCACATAGGCAGCATGAAAGACAGTGCAAAAATGAGTGCATGAAAGGCAGACAAAAGGAGCAATAAAGTCAGAGGACTGTGAGGAATGTGGAATGTGAGTTGGGGGATGCAGGGAAATGAGATCAGATGCAGACAGAGCAAGGTTGCATGAGGCACTGACAGTAAAGTGAGAATCTTGACTTTGACATTGTAGCAGAGAAGGCAAGATAAGTAAGAAACAGTTTTAGGGGACAGCAATGACACAGATGGGACAATGACAGAAAGAAATACAGTGTAAGCAAAAGCATTTTGGTGAAGAAAGATGGAAAGAAAGGAGCTGAAGTGATAGTTTCAAGATTCTGGAAGAAAGCCTTTAACACTTCTGCCAGACAAAATTCCACCAACAGAGACAGCAAAGAGCATCAGAAATCTGGCAGTAAGGCACTGGAAGCTGGGACAGAATTCGTCAAGTTTCTAAGCATAGAGAAGTGTCAAAGGTGATAATGTGATGATTTGAAAGTTATCAATAGCTATGAACGAAGAAGATGGGTCAGATACAGGGGTAATTCCAGTTAACTATGGTCAATCAAGAACCATTAGAAATAAAGACATGTAAAACTAGAGAGAAAGAGTTTCTGAGTCAGCATCTCCTCCACAACCTATCGCATAGATTTGGTCCATAATAGTAGTAAAGAAATTGAGAAAGTTGGGAAAGAAAATGAAAAAAAAAAAATAAGTGATCCATTTTTCCAATTTTCCCATAGCAGAGAAAAAGTATTTTGCATTTTATCAGGAAAAGGCTATAAGCAGCCAATTATAAACTGAATTTTATTAGCTTTAAAAACTTAGTGAATTACAGTGTCAGAATAGGACTGTTTTAAAATAACAGTGTCTGCTTCTCAAGAATTTCACAC